CCCGGGATTCCGCGGCGCGTGCGGAGCGCTGAGGGGCGCGAGGCCGGCTCCTGCCAGGGGGCGCCTTCCACGTCTGGGCCGCCTGCCGGGGGCCGTTTATGGCACGAGCTGCGGCGCGCCTTTCAGGGACGCCCGACACCCGCTGCGCTGGGCGACCTGGCGCTGGCCTGGCCACCTCGCCTGTCGCCCAGCACGCGGCCCCGCGGCGGCGCCTCCCGTCGCCCCGCGTCCTGCTGCAGATATTGTCTTCTCGTTTGGTGCTTGTGTATATGCCAGTGCACTTATAAGGAAGAGCCTTAGAGGTGGCCGTCGCAAGTTAGCACTCATGTCTACCTCAGAAATTACTAAGTTTCAAACAAACTTTTAGCAGTTCACTTTTCCCAGACGAGATCTTTGCCTTGACAGAAAGCAGCCCTAGGGAGCCGCCTACCTTCCCATTCCAGTGGCTTTTCTGAGCTAGCGGTGCTACCGACCGTGGTGCTGTCCATATCTGTCGGGAAGGGTCCACTAAGACTGGCTGAGTCCTGGTCCCCAGGAATTTCTGTGCCGCTGTCGCATGCGATTTCAGCACCATGGTCAACGGATATTTGATGAGGCTGGCAGCTCATTTCCTCTGTTGTGGAGCTTGCTGTGCCATTATTTCCTGAGGAAGTGGCAACCTCTCCCTCAGCGCGCTCCATGGTCCACTACGCTGTGGGCTGGTGTGTTAAAATGGCTTCCTTCCACTTAGTCACGTGACCCGAGATTTTCCAGAACTTTCCTTAGATGATATATAAAATATCTTCTTTGAAGGGAAGCCAAAATGTGCTGGTGCACTTTTGTCAGTTGGGGTGCTGAAGCAGAATGATCGCCACGAGTTCAAAGACAGCCTGAACTACATCGCGAGACCCTGTCTCCAGTAAATAAATACAGGCCGGGGAGACAGTTTGCGACATAAGCACCTGCCTGACAAGCCCAAGTACCTGGATTCGATGCCCAACACCACATGACGCATGGAGACCAGGCGTGGAGGCACACACCTGTAATGCCAGCGATGTGGATGCTGTGACAGGAGGATCACTACAAGTCCAAGCTGCATAGTGAGACCTTATTCAAATAAATAAAATAAAACAATACATAATTTAAAAATAGTGCTACTGTTGCAGACTTTATAGTATGTGTTAAAGGTCTTACCCATAAAGTCACTACTGCCTAACACTGATCTTAATTATAAGGAGTTGTTTTGAGAACCTAATTATTGCATGATCTTTTCTTTTGGATATGTGATTTTTTTTTCATTCCGTCAAACTAGACTTATCAGAACTTTAGAACTAGAAAAAGTTTGGATTTTGTTTTCTTTTTTTCTGTCTTTTGCGGCAGTGGGGATTGAACCCAATAAGACACATCGCAAGATCATTTTATTTTTTTTTTCTGCATTGCGCTCAGTGATTTAAAAAATTTTTTGGTTATCTTTATTTTGATCCACAATGAGCAAGTATTACTTTTGTGAGAAGAGAAATATCCATATGTTATTATTATTATTTTTTTTTTTTGCAGTACTGAGGATCAAACTTGGGACCTTCTGCTTGCCAGGCAGGTTCCTTATGCCGCTGAGCTATCTCTCTGGCCCCCCTATATGTTATTAATAAAATAACAACATAATTATCCTTCAAATGATAAAACTATGGTATACTAAGCAGCATGCATTTCTATATTCAATAATACTGAAATTGCATTTCTTCATCAATGTATTTCTTCTTCAATAACTAAATTTTAATATAAGATATATGAACATGTTATGCTGAAACCAAACTGTCTTGTGCATACATTAAAATCTGTATGCATTTGAGAAGGGTACTTTTTTTTCTTTTTTTATTTGGTGTTGGGGACTGAACCCATGGTGTTGTGTGCACTGGGCAAACATTCTGTCACTGAGCTACAGATAGCCCTAGGCCAAAAGGATGTATTTTTAAGAAATCAAGTTTTGGGTGGCTCACCACAGGCAGGACTTCTGTACCACAGGGCACAACTGCTGAAAGAAAAGGAGTCTTTCCTTGTCAGCCACTACAGAGACAAAACCGGTCTGGTAGGGGTGTCCAGAAGCTCGAGGTGGGCATCCAAATGAGGAGTAAGCTAGGTTTTTGAGCTTAGAGGGACAGAAGATTCTGCGCGCTGTTCACTGATTAACTTGCGTGCTGACCATCTCTTTCAGCATTCAGTCGAAGTCACAGAGAAGCAGCAGACATGGCTCCTGCCCACAGCAACTCGTGCTCTTGTAGTCAGAAGTACACTAAAAGTCATGACGGTGTGGGGGCTGGGGAGATGGCTCAGTAGAATAAGCGCTTGCCTGGCAAGTACAAGGGCCTGAGTTCAATCCCCAGTTCTGACAAAAAAAGAAAAAAGAAAACAGCTTCGTAGGGTGGGGCTCAGTGGTACATCTGCCTAGCCTTTAGGAGGCCCTGAGTTCAATCCCCAGGACTGGAAAAAAAAAAGATAAAATGACGGTGCGGGACGTACCATGAAAGAGGGAAGACACTCAATTACCTGCTTAGTTTCAAAGTTCACAAAACAGTAACCTCGAGGCTGTCCTTCCAAAGCACCCAACTTGTGGAAGAGGAAGTCAAACTGATTCACCTTTCCAAACTTCTGGAGGAGTTTGAGGAGGTGGTATTCTGTGATTTTGGGATCTAGGTTGCCAATCCGTAATCGGTGTCCTTCCTGTACAGAGCCCTCTGAAAGGATGGATGTGTGCTCCAGGGGAAGAATTTTGGTTTCTGCTTCCATCAATCTCTATAAATAACTTGTGGCCTCAGTGTGCTGCCCTCTACTCATGCCTCCAAAGCAAGTTCCAACACTGGGGCCGAAGGACGACTAGAAGCATCAGTGTGGATTCTGCCAGCTGCCAGGCCGCCTGTGATGCGCTACCAAGATCATTTTATTTTATTTTACCTTTGTTTTGTTTTGTTTTGTTTTGTTTGAGAAAGGGTCTCACTAAGTTGCTAAGTTGCCAGGGTTAGGTTTGAAATTTTGATCCTCCTGCCTCAGCCCCTCAGACTGCAGGGATTTCAGGTTTTCAGCACCACACCTGGCTTGTCCCTTTTTTAATCCATCCACTACAGCTAGTCCAGCAACCAACAGGACAGGATGTCAGAGGTGCGGCTACCTCCATGCCCCATAGACGACTTTGTTGTGGGGTCAGTGCATCTTGGAGCACCGGATCCATGTGACCCGCAGCGATGATGCCACAGCGTCAACAACCTTCTCTACTGCCAAACCAACTACCTTCTCTGCTTTGGCTTCGTTCTCACTCTAGCCAGGTATGTGTGTCCGAATCACACCCTCCTGAGCACGCTGGCAGTGCTGGTGGCCCTTGTCATGTGAGTGTGGACAGCTGAGACCCGCCCAAAAGTGAGGCGCTGCCGCCGCAGCCACCCTGCCACCTGCCTAGCCGCAGTGCTTACCATTGGCCTTCTCATTGTCTAGGTCTTGGACTGCGTGTGCACCTTCCTGCTCAGCATTGCTGGGCTGGTGCTTCTGATTCTGGTGCACGCCTCCATTCACCCTCAAAACCTTAAAAACAAGACTGAGAACAAAATTGAGAGCATTGGTCTCAAGTGGATGCCAAAGGGGCTGCTACTAGAGGCACTGAGACAAGAACAGGAGGGCCAAAGGACCTGGGACCTCCACTTAGTACCTGAAGAATACCCCACCTGCACCCGAACCCATATCCAAGACCCAGAGCCCTTCTCCTGCCTTTATAATAGCAGTCAAGGGCCGGCAAAATAGCACAGCAGTTTAAAGCGCCTGCTTAGGCAAGCTTGGGCAGGCACAGGGGATCCTGATTCGATTCGCTGGTACCACATGCTGCTCCAGCCCTGCCTTCAGGGTGGGCTGAGCAGATATATATATATATATATATATTAGCAGTCAAGAGCACCCCGACCAGTCAAAAAGATTGGTCATCAGTGATTTCCACCTTAGTTTAAAATTAGGGTATCAGGGCCAGGGAGATGGCTCAGTGGAATAAGCGCTTCCCTGGCAAGCACAAGGGCCTGAGTTCAATCCCTGGTTCCGCAAAAAAATAGAGAAATAAATAAATAAAATTAGGGTATCATTCATTCCGAACCACCCCCCCTTATCTAGTTACTAGTCTTCCACAGCCCTGAACTTGGGACTCACAGCCACTCCAGCCTCAGGCCTCAGGCTTGGTACTAGAGCATCTATGGCCAGCCTCAAACTGTACTTACTTATATTCTGGGACTCATTTGTGTTCCATGTTCAGCACCAAAGCTAGGGCCTGGGGCAAACCATTCTCACATCTTGAAATTTGGACCAAGGCTATTCCAACCCCACCCCAGCTTCAAACCTAGGTTATGGCATTGTCGAATCTAGACCCCGTAGCTAAGTCCTCCCTCACCTGCATAGTCAGGTATCCTGATCCTGTTGAACCAGGTGACCCCAACCCTCACCAGTTCCAGTTGCCTTCAGCTGTTTAACAGGTTTTACTCCTCCCCTAATGTTCCACAGTGTCAGAGACCAAGGGGTGGAGGGTGGGGTAGGCCCAACTGGAAAAGGAGTAGTTACATCAGTGTTGCTCCAACAATAGAGCTGTTGCATCTCTCAAAAAAAAAATCCATCCACTGTCCTTTATTTTGATATTATGCCACAGAGCTACACTGAGGTTTGTAACAAAAAATATACCAAAACACCAGTTGCACATTTACAGTATAATACTTTTACAGTAGAATATTCTTGAAGGGTCTATTTTTTGTAAAGTCATTTAATAGTAACTCAACCTGGCATGATGGTTGCATGCCTATAATCTCAGCACTTGGGAAGCTGAGACAG